GTCATGCAAATCAGCCACAACATAGAGGCAACTTTACCTTTGCTGTTTCATTGCTCCAATCAAATTCTGACTCATAATAACCCAGGAAGAGAATGTCTCCTTTGATCTCTGTGTCTAAGGACAAAAGAACAAAATTTGTCAAAAACAATAACTGAAAGCCTCTTGTAGGTTAAAAAAAACAAAAACAAAAAAACAGAGAAGTGGCCTCTCACCTTCAAGGTGGTATTGTCTGATATGCTGGCCATGGCAGAACTCGTACGTCCACCAGTCCTTCGTCTGCAGGACAGGTATTTCTGTTAGACTTTGACACAGTGCCTAAGCCTGAAACGGTCCCACGCATATATTTGTAAATAGGGCTGCCACAAACTATTATTTTTGCGATTAGTCGACTAATCAGATCATGCATCCATTGGACATACAGCGTACAGCTTATTGCACCAGCAGCATCTGCTCTTATATAACTATCATTAGCTTAAAGCTTTAAGTGTTTAAGGTATGTGCTAACTAAAAATTAAGACAAGATGATAGTTTATTAAATTTTAATGAAATTTGCAGATTGTTTCGGTGAAGGTTAATAAACTCCTTGCTATCTAAAATATAACAGGACACCGGAGTATATTCTCAAGCATCTCACACTTCTGATAATCAGTTGTCTGCTTGACGTTTATTCAGCTGTGTAAAAACTATAACTTTAATCTCAGACAAACTGATTTACTCAGCAAAAAATAAAATACTAAAAAAAAAAAGCCAAACAATAACATTTTTAAGTTATCTAAGTGACTTATGTATGTTTAACCTGAGTAGTGAAAGACGGGTGGGTTTGAAAATGATTTACCGGGAGTCCGGTGTTCTCACAGCTCTAGTTAGCCTTGCCCCCGCCTAGCTAACGAGCTAGTGGGTAACAGATGTCTCCGAAAACGTCGGAGCGCTTTTGAAAATATGTGGTGTCTTGATAAACTGAGCAGATATTTGAGGTTTACACAGCTACATTCTCGCCTGAAAATATGTTAAACGTTTATTTTGTGACCCAGAAAGAATAATAAGAGTAATATTAAAACTAACTAGCTGCCGCT